ATGAAACTCAAAAAATTCGGCCCGAAAAAAAAACGAACAGTGGGTACCCCTTACGTTTTTTTTTTTTGGGCGAAAAATTAAGTTTCTCCAATCTTCCAAAACTCTGGATTCTGATAGAGGGCCATGAGACTTAGACCTGAGTGCAAAAATGGAGGCTCTAGCCCCTTCCAGAGCTGAGATATCGAAACTCAAAAATTCGGCCCGAAAAAAAAAAAACGACAGTGGTACCCCTTACGTTTTTTTTTTGGGCGAAAAATTAAGTTTCTCCAATCTTCCCAAAACTCTGGATTCTGATAGAGGGCCATGAGACTTAGACCTGAGTGCAAAAATGGAGGCTCTAGCCCCTTCCAGAGCTGAGATATCGAAACTCAAAAATTCGGCCCGAAAAAAAAAGACAGTGGTACCCCTTACGTTTTTTTTTTTTTGGGCGAAAAATTAAGTTTCTCCAATCTTCCAAAACTTTGGATTCTGATAGAGGGCCATGAGACTTAGACCTGAGTGCAAAAATGGAGGCTCTAGCCCCTTCCAGAGCTGAGATATCGAAACTCAAAAATTCGGCCCGAAAAAAAAAACGACAGTGGTACCCCTTACGTTTTTTTTTTTTGGGCGAAAAATTAAGTTTCTCCAATCTTCCCAAAACTCTGGATTCTGATAGAGGGCCATGAGACTTAGACCTGAGTGCAAAAAATGGAGGCTCTAGCCCCTTCCAGAGCTGAGATATCGAAACTCAAAAATTCGACCCAAAAAAAAAAAAGACAGTGGTACCCCTTACGTTTTTTTTTTTCGGGCGAAAAATTAAGTTTCTCCAATCTTCTCCAAAACTCTGGATTCTGATAGAGGGCCATGAGACTTAAACCTGAGTGCAAAAATGGAGGCTCTAGACCCTTCCAGAGCTGAGATATCGAAACTCAAAATTCGACCCGAAAAAAAAAAACGACAGTGGTACCCCTTACGTTTTTTTTTTTTTGGGCGAAAAATTAAGTTTCTCCAATCTTCTCAAAACTCTGGATTCTGATAGAGGGCCATGAGACTTAAACCTGAGTGCAAAAATGGAGGCTCTAGACCCTTCCAGAGCTGAGATATCGAAACTCAAAATTTCGACCGAAAAAAAAAAAAACGACAGTGTACCCCTTAGTTTTTTTTTTTTTCGGGCGAAAAATTAAGTTCTCCAATCTTCTCAAAACTCTGGATTCTGATAGAGGGCCATGAGACTTAAACCTGAGTGCAAAAATGGAGGCTCTAGACCCTTCCAGAGCTGAGATATCGAAACTCAAAATTTCGACCCGAAAAAAAAACGACAGTGGTACCCCTTACGTTTTTTTTTTGGGCGAAAAATTAAGTTTCTCCAATCTTCCCAAAACTCTGGATTCTGATAGAGGGCCATGAGACTTAGACCTGAGTGCAAAAATGGAGGCTCTAGCCCCTTCCAGAGCTGAGATATCGAAACTCAAAAATTCGGCCCAAAAAAAAAACGACAGTGGTACCCCTTACGTTTTTTTTTTTGGGCGAAAAATTAAGTTTCTCCAATCTTCCCAAAACTCTGGATTCTGATAGAGGGCCATGAGACTTAGACCTGAGTGCAAAAATGGAGGCTCTAGCCCCTTCCAGAGCTGAGATATCGAAACTCAAAAATTCGGCCCGAAAAAAAAACGACAGTGGTACCCCTTACGTTTTTTTTTTGGGCGAAAAATTAAGTTTCTCCAATCTTCCCAAAACTCTGGATTCTGATAGAGGGCCATGAGACTTAGACCTGAGTGCAAAAATGGAGGCTCTAGCCCTTCCAGAGCTGAGATATCGAAACTCAAAAATTCGGCCCGAAAAAAAAAAACGACAGTGGTACCCCTTACGTTTTTTTTTTTGGGCGAAAAATTAAGTTTCTCCAATCTTCCCAAAACTCTGGATTCTGATAGAGGGCCATGAGACTTAGACCTGAGTGCAAAAATGGAGGCTCTAGCCCCTTCCAGAGCTGAGATATCGAAACTCAAAAATTCGGCCCGAAAAAAAAAACGACAGTGGTACCCCTTACGTTTTTTTTTTTTTGGGGCGAAAAATTAAGTTTCTCCAATCTTCCCAAAACTCTGGATTCTGATAGAGGGCCATGAGACTTAGACCTGAGTGCAAAAATGGAGGCTCTAGCCCCTTCCAGAGCTGAGATATCGAAACTCAAAAATTCGGCCCGAAAAAAAAACGACAGTGGTACCCCTTACGTTTTTTTTTTTTGGGCGAAAAATTAAGTTTCTCCAATCTTCCCAAAACTCTGGATTCTGATAGAGGGCCATGAGACTTAGACCTGAGTGCAAAAATGGAGGCTCTAGCCCCTTCCAGAGCTGAGATATCGAAACTCAAAAATTCGGCCCGAAAAAAAAAACGACAGTGGTACCCCTTACGTTTTTTTTTTTTGGGCGAAAAATTAAGTTTCTCCAATCTTCCCAAAACTCTGGATTCTGATAGAGGGCCATGAGACTTAGACCTGAGTGCAAAAATGGAGGCTCTAGCCCCTTCCAGAGCTGAGATATCGAAACTCAAAAATTCGGCCCGAAAAAAAAAAACGACAGTGGTACCCCTTACGTTTTTTTTTTGGGCGAAAAATTAAGTTTCTCCAATCTTCCCAAAACTCTGGATTCTGATAGAGGGCCATGAGACTTAGACCTGAGTGCAAAAATGGAGGCTCTAGCCCCTTCCAGAGCTGAGATATCGAAACTCAAAAATTCGGCCCGAAAAAAAAACGACAGTGGTACCCCTTACGTTTTTTTTTTTTTGGGCGAAAAATTAAGTTTCTCCAATCTTCCCAAAACTCTGGATTCTGATAGAGGGCCATGAGACTTAGACCTGAGTGCAAAAATGGAGGCTCTAGCCCCTTCCAGAGCTGAGATATCGAAACTCAAAAATTCGGCCCGAAAAAAAAAACGACAGTGGTACCCTTACGTTTTTTTTTTTGGGCGAAAAATTAAGTTTCTCCAATCTTCCCAAAACTCTGGATTCTGATAGAGGGCCATGAGACTTAGACCTGAGTGCAAAAATGGAGGCTCTAGCCCCTTCCAGAGCTGAGATATCGAAACTCAAAAATTCGACCCCAAAAAAAAACGACAGTGGTACCCCTTTCGTTTTTTTTTTTTTTCGGGCGAAAAATTAAGTTTCTCCAATCTTCTCAAAACTCTGGATTCTGATAGAGGGCCATGAGACTTAAACCTGAGTGCAAAAATTGAGGCTCTAGACCCTTCCAGAGCTGAGATATCGAAGCTCAAAATTTCGACCCGAAAAAAAAACCGACAGTGGTACCCTTTCGTTTTTTTTTTTTGGGCGAAAAATTAAGTTTCTCCAATCTTCTCAAAACTCTGGATTTTGATAGAGTGCCATGAGACTTAAACCTCAGTGCAAAAATGGAGGCTCTAGACCCTTCCAGAGCTGAGATATCGAAACTCAAAATTTCGACCCGAAAAAAAAACGACAGTGGTACCCCTTTCGTTTTTTTTTTTGGGCGAAAAATTAAGTTTCTCCAATCTTCTCAAAACTCTGGATTCTGATAGAGGGCCATGAGACTTAAACCTGAGTGCAAAAATTGAGGCTCTAGACCCTTCCAGAGCTGGGATATCGAAACTCAAAATTTCGACCCGAAAAAAAAAAACGACAGTGGTACCCCTTTCGGGTTTTTTTTCGGGCGAAAAATGAAGTTTCTCCAATCTTCTCAAAACTCTGGATTCTTATCCACAAGTTTCCTACGCCCCATGAGGCCTTGCGTCAAAAGTGGGTGCGACTTCCGGTTGGAAGTAAACAAAGCGCAACTTGACATGCTTGACACTCGTTCATTCAACAGTTGACAGTCATTCAAGTTATAGCGATCCAATCTAGCTAACGATGTGGGAACACAACCTCAACGAAATTCAAAAGGGTGAAATAACAGTACCTTTACCCTCCGCAGTAGTTGATTGGGAGTATTATAATAACATTATTAATAATCAATACTCATCAAGGCATGGTGACAGACAGTTGTGCGAGCTGACAAACAATTAAAATAAAAAAAAAAATACACACTTAGTCATTGTGCTTTGGAGTTTATTCAAAATTATAAATGAATGTGCTACTTGAATACATTACTGGCACATTTGGTATTCTGTCAACACAGGCTTTGATCCTGAGTTTAGCTGTAACATCAATAGCGAACAGCTGATCACATGCTGATAGAATTTATAGAATATAAAGAATTTAAAAAAATGTACACAGGAAGATTCGTCGTCTTTTGGGAGGTGATGGAAACTAACGTTACAGTCGTTGGCAGGATCAGAGACGGGCTCTGGCAGGATCACTCGTTTTCAGCTTATGTTCAAAACAATCACGTTTAAGCCACTGAATTAGTTTAGTCCGGTTATACATACAACCGCGAACAGCACATGTTGTCCCTGAGCTCCGTAACGACATCTCTCATAAAGATTTGCGTCTTTAAATAGTAAAATAATTATCCGAAAAACAGCTAGCCTCTTTGCTAACTAACACACAAAATACCATTGGAATGCTACTTCCGCCGCGTCACCGGAAGTTTCACCCACTTTATTTTTTACAGGAGCGCCCCTCGGAAACTTGTGGATAGAGGGCCATGAGATTTAAACCTGAGTGCAAAAATGGAGGCTCTAGACCCTTCTAGAGCTGAGATATTGAGATATTTATAATGGGATAAATGCCACGTGTGATTTCAATATCTTAGCTCTGGAAGGGTCTAGAGCCTCCATTTTTGCACTCAGGTCTAAGTCTCATGACCCTCTATCAGAATCCAGAGTTTCAAGAAGATCAGAGCAAATCAAAATTTCGACCCGAGAAAAAAAAAACCGACAATGGTACCCCTTTTGTTTGTTTTTTTGTTTTCTTTTTGTGCGAAAAAATAAGTTTCTCCAATCTTCTTGAAATCGGTACTGTGATATATATATATATATATATATATATATATATATATATATATATTATAAAAGAAATTTCAATCAGCATCACTGAAAATGTGACTTCAGTAACAGGCTTTCAAACTTACAGTGCATTTTAATGGACAGACACATTCAAAAAAATCCTGATTTAGAACGTGCAATTCAGTTGATTTTTAACTTTATTAAAAGTATTTTTTCTATTTTACATACAAACTATGAAATACTGGCAAAAATATATACAAAATGTAAATACACCTTAGAAAATGTTGCTTGCTTCTGTGTTTGGAGTGAAGTGCTGCCATGCTTCTTTTCAATGTAGAGTTTTTTATATATAATTACTACATGCAGAGCTTTACTGGCATTTGATTGGATGACAAACATCCAATCTCATGGACTGCAGGCTTTAAACTAGGTGAAATGCTCCAGAAGTTAAAAAAAGGGGGCTGACATGTGATGTCCATTGTAATGCACACAGGGTCTGCATGGGTTAAAAGAAAATCGGTTAATGCTATCCTATTAAATGACTGTCAACTCATCATTTCGTCGCGTTGGAATTATAAGGTTCTATCTGACATTTTTGTCAAAATTTAGTTATTCACAAATTCTTATTCTGTGACAACTTATTTACATTATGTGATGTGTATTTTTTTAAGTTGTGTTCATTGTGGGACTTTTTATTGAAAAAAACAAAAAGGTTCTATCTACAAAGTCGAACTCTAACTTGGCTCTATAAGGTTCTATCTGCATGAGCCAATCAGCACGTCGAATGCACAGAAGAGGACCAATCAGAATCAACTTTATATGTCGGGTCGCCGACATATGTGTGCGAATGTGTAGCCTATGTGTGCGCATGTGTGAGAAAGTGTGTTGGTGTGTGAGAGAGTGTGTGTGTGAGATTATTATCACGGTGTGTGGAATGAAGACAGGCTGACGCAAAGCTCCAATACAAAACATTAACTCAAAAACTCCAAACAGGTACAAGGAAGAGTGGCAAAAGATTACACACACCATCCATGAAACATAATCAAGAACCGACAAGCACAGACTGAAACAGAGAGAACTAAATACAGATACAAAATGAACTCTAACAAGGACCCCATTTACACCTGTATTAAAATGCGATCTGTATCGAGATAAGTTATCCGGATAATAAAAAACGCATGTTAATGCAAGGTGTAAATGCGTTGTGATCGGATCTGCCTGACCACATCTGGAGGTAGTCTGGCTCGCATTGTGTCCGGACTAGGTGTAAACGCAATCTGGTTGTTGAAACCACATATGTGTATATTTTACTCCTCCCAAAAATGCTAAAAAATAAACGAGTGAGAACGTGTTATAGGCTAGCTATATGTTATAGCCTAGTCAGATGCGACACGCATCACCATGAGCAGAGCGTCTATTCAACGTGCAAACATCGCAAATAAAAGTGAAAGTAAGTCACAGACGCAGTTAACACATCTTCAAGTAAAGAAACGAAATTATCTTACCAGGCCTGTTGCCACTCTCTCTTATTGATGTCTCTGATTTGGAAATTAGCCTGATCAATAAAATGCCGCTCAGATCTGTTGCTTTTGGTGGCGTGCAATCCATTAAATCTGCATATAACGCAGGAGGTGAAGATCGGATTTATATCCGTTTTGCAAAAACACATTTATTTGGCCAGGTGTAAATGGAATCGGTACTTATTATCCGGATAACTTATCTGGATACAGATCGCATTTTAATACCAGGTGTAAATGGGGTCAAGGTGACGACAGGTGACACAGATGATCAGGACGATGAACAGGTGGATGATTGAGGGAGTGAGTTCAGGTGTGGAGACAAGAGGATGCTGGGAAGTGTAGTGAAGATGACGAAGACAGAATGGTGCAGACAAAGACTGTGACAATTTTATAGTCAGTGAATACTTTTTCAATGATTATTAAACTTTATGAATTAATTTGCTGAAGCATGTCGATTTTCTTGCAGTTTTTAAAGTCTTAAAATGTCTTATTTTTTTTTTTTACCATATTAAGGCTTATAGGTCAAATATTTAACAATTTAATTAATGGGGTCTTAATTACAGCAATAAACGTTTGCATGTTATTTCAGCCATATTGAGGTCTAGAGAGAAAGCCATTTTACCTGGCCCACTTTAGCTGGAATAAAGTCCTGCTCGGATGTATTACAGTGGCTGCTTTCTGTTTAAGCAAAAGAAAGATTAAAGTATAATTTCTGCAATAATTTGTTTAACTACCCACCAAATTGGTATCAAAAATGAAGATTATGCGCTGGGGAAAATATTTAGACTTACCTTGCTTAATTTGAAATGTCCTAAATACATGGAAGTTCTAAAAAATATTAAATAAATAGAAAGGATTAAATTTTACTTTCTAACACATGTTGAGACATTGTTACAACATTTTTTTATTATTTTTTTTATTTAATGTTCAAATAATGTTTTGGCAGATATAACCTTATAATTCTAAGCGAAAATGTTTTGTTTTTTTTTTTTTTTAGAATTAGAAGGTTCTATCTGTATTTGACCCATTCCAAAAATCCCCATTTACAAATTTCAGAGGATTTTGATATTGTATGTTTAGAATACATTTAGGGTCCCTGTTATTTTCATGTTTGAATGAAACTTGTTCCCCATATAAATTTTCCTATATGTAATGCAAAAACTTTGAAGCTCAATATCTCAAAACTGCTCAGAACGCAGAAAACCTTATAATTCCAAGGGGACGATTTTGCATGTCAAATAATGTTGAAATTAAATCTCACTGTGTAATAAGTAACCTTTATCTTTAATCTGGAACACTGGGATTTTTCGCTTCAATTAACATGATTTCTAGGAATACTGTATGAACTTGAACTTTCCATCAAATGTTTGAAAAAGTAGATTGCCAATACAGAAGTTACAGTACAGTACAGAAATACAGTTTTACCTTTGAAGTTACAGAAAAAAAAATCATAAATGGTTTCCCTCAATTCTAATCTACATTAATAAAATATGTACATGCTTCAAAATTTAATGGAGTTTCAAAGCATTTCAAGCTTGATTGCAGATGAAAGAAACGGCAAGCATCATTATATGATCTGTATTGATGTTCACATGATGTTCAGAAAAGTGGCCCAAAAATAAAAAAAATAGTTTCATAATTGACTTCCATCTTATGTCTTCCTCTTGAGATCTTTCATTAAATGGAATCCTGTCCATTAGATGGAGCCAGTGCTCCTGATTGATTACAATTGATCAGTTTAAAAGAAAAAGAGGAACAGCTGTGAGTTCCTGTGAGATCAGAAAAGTTTCCTGACAGAGCTGTAATTTGTGTCACATTTTACACCAAACAACTAGTGTCATGATTGACCATCTGCTACCATCATTGAATTGGTCATCTTGATTGAACTGTGACAATATGGCTGCCACCTCACCCATTTCTGTCAGAGATTCTGTCTGCTATCTTTGCACGTCTTTAAAAGACTCTGTTGTTCTAAGATGTTCCCACAGTTTGTGCAGAAGCTGTCTACAAAGCTACTGGGAGCTCAACAAGTCCCTGGAGTGTCCTGTTTGTTTGAGGGAAACACACTGTTCTGTTCTTCTACATCATTTAAGTATTTCTCACTTTTCCTCAGAGGATGAAACCTCTCAAGACAGCAACTTCAAACCACTCCATGTGGGGAATGTTGAAAGTGAAATGGTAAGTGAGCTGCACTTTCACTAAAAAGAAACTGCACCTTTAACTTTGATCTTGAAATATACCTTTGGCTAAAAAGATCTGCTCTAATCCAGAAATAGATTTTAGGGACTGTCTTATGAAAACAGATAAGTAGGAGAACAAAACTAAACTATTTTAATAATATAAAATCAATCTGATTTAATTAAATATTGTATCAGTATGTTTGCATTTTATGTAATAATTAGTTGTAGTAGAACGGTATTTATTTATTTTTTTGCCAACAAGATTGCTACCGTTTAATACAATTGCGTAGAAAGTATACTAAGTCAGTTGAAGCTCTTTCCAGACTAGAGCTGCGTTTACACCGCAGGAACATTCCCCAGGAACTAGGAACTTTGGGGTGGTACTCACTGTGTTTACACCACAGAAACCAGGGTCTAAATGAAGTTCCGTGTAAAAATCCCCCCCCCCCAGAAAGTCCCTGCTGGCGAGGTAGTACTTTTTCAGAGTTCGGGAACTGTGAAAAAAAAAAAATGCACTCAAAAATGAAAAAATAAAATGCACTCAAAACAAAAGCCACATTTCCACTGCAATTACCAGGATCTATATTCCAGGAACTTTTTTTATAGGAACTTTTTTTTTGCCCCAGACCGCTTGCTTACTGCGTTTACACCGCGGACTAAAGTACCGGTCCAGGGCGGGAAGATTATGTAGTGACGTTGAACTGCGTGCCACTGCTCCTCCCAGTCTGCGTGTTTGTTTTGAGTGCATTTTGAATTTTGTATATAGAGGAGATTCAAGCTGTGCTGCTTTTGTGTGAGATTGGTTTACTAACGAGATAATTAACAAAACGGCAGAAAAGAGACCAGCACCCACAGCGTATTCAGAAAGCACGTAATGCTAGATATATAAGTCAACGTTTTTTATCAGCGGAATTGACCGTGAGATGGATGGGACGAACGCGTGCCATCGGGCAGAGAGAACAAGTGGTAAGAACCAATCTGCATGTTCAGCACACAAGTCCCACCCCGAAAGTTCCAAACTCTGAAAAAGTACTACCTCGCCAGCAGCGACTTTCTCGGGGGGAAATTTTTACCTGGAACTTCATTTAGACCCTGGTTCCTGTGGTGTAGACACAGCGAGTACCACCCCAAAGTTCCTAGTTCCTGGGGAAAGTTCTTGCGGTGGAAACGCGACTAAACGTGCAGACTGGAAGGAGCAGTCGCATGCAGTTCAACGTCACTACATAATCTTCCCGCCGGTACTTTAATCCACGGTGTAAACGCAGTAAGCAAGCGGTCTAGGGCAAAAAAAGTTCCTATGAAAAAAGTTCCTGCGACAAATAGTTCCTGATAATTGCAGTGGAATTGCAGGCTTAAGTCAGAGATACAATTTTCCACTTCCAACCTCAAAGCCTTCCAGTCATTCTGTAACACAGACAACTCATAGTTTCCCTGCCTCCCCTTGAAAATGACCAGTGGGATTGATCGGTAATTGGGAATTGATTTAGTACCTGCCATATCATAAATGAAGTCAAATTATGCTTTTCTTTGAAGTTGGGGCTGATCAATCTGTCAGATGTCTGTACCAGTGGTTATTTTCCAGTAGGAGATGTCTGTTTTGCATATTTATTTGTGTATGAGTCATTTCTGACACTGACTGATTGATCTGAATGCACACTTTGAATACAGTCTAAGTTGCTTTGGATAAAAGAGTTTGCCAAATGCACAAATGTAAATGTCTATGCTAACACTGATAGCAGTCAGTGAAGAAGGAGCTATCAGATATAATGAGCACAATGGCCAGCATCAAGACAGAAGACGACATTAGTACCATGGTCCAGGTGTTGATGGAGGTCAAACATGAACCGACTGAAAAAGACATATCAGCAAACATAGAAGAAAACTGTATACATGGACATACAACTTTGGACATTGCCTTACCTGTGAAGGTAAGGTGTCAAATCTATCAGCATTATATGTCACCATAGCTAAGAACAACTTTTCTAAAAATGTTCTTGTTTTGTTTTTGTTTTGTTTTTTAAAGAAGGAGCAGTCCAATAAAACCAGGTGAGTGTCTCATCTTTTCATGAAATTGCAAAGATCTCTTGTTAGTACATATGTCCTTTGCTTCTCCTAAAAGCCTTTGAGTTATACATCATTTACTTACTCTAGTGATGAGGAAATACATACAGACATGATCCTACATAACACAGCTCCTACACCCAGTTCCGTCTTAATGGAACCCAATGACTCTAGAGAGAGTCCTAACCCACCACCGACAATTACTTGTGGATCTTTAAGGTCCAACCTTTGTCCAAAATGCGGCAAGAGCTTCAAAAGAAAATCAGACCTCAAAGCCCATGAGAAGGTGCACTCCTTGAAGAAGTCACACCAGTGCTCCACTTGCGGAAAGTGTTATGTCAATAAACATGAGCTTTCCATGCACACGCGGCTACACACCGGCGAGAAGGTGTTGGACTGCCCTTATTGCAAGAAAAAGTTTGTCAGGGAGAGCGGATTGAAGTCCCACTTGAGGAGCCACACTGGGGAGAAGCCATTCTCTTGTTCACAATGTGGGAAAAGCTTTTCTCGAAGAAGTACACTAAATACTCACCTGCGTTTGCACCTAGGCACCCTGCCCCACCAGTGCGATCATTGCGGGAAGCTTTTCAACACTGCGGCAGCTATGAGAGTCCACAGGGCGACCCATACCGGAGAGAGGCCCTTTCCATGCCCGCAATGTGACAAGAAGTTCATCAGTAAAGTTGAACTAGATGTTCACCTACATATCCATGCAGGGAACAGGCCGTTCAGCTGTTCAACATGTGGGAAGAGTTTCTTTAGGAAGCAAGAACTCAACAAACATCAGACCATTCACCAAGACAACCGTCCCTTTCATTGTATACACTGCGAGAGCAGCTTCAAAAGGATGAGCCACCTCACATCCCACATGAAGATCCATTTCTCCGACACCCCTTACAAATGCAAACACTGTGGCAAGCCCTTCAAACATCCCAACAGCCTCAAACTGCATGAGCGTCTTCACACTGGAGAAAAGCCCTACAGTTGCGAATGCTGCGGGAAAAAGTTCCCTTCTTCAGGAGAGCGCTCAAGACACATGGCCGTACATTCTGAGGAGAAATCGTACAAGTGCCCGAAGTGTGACAAGAGCTTTCGCTTCAGGAGCAGTCTGAAGTCCCACCAGGTCACACACACTAAAGAAAGACCTTTCCACTGCAAGAAGTGTGGTCAGAGCTTCCGTAGGCGTGCCAATCTCAAAATTCATAAGGTGGTGCACTCCGACGAAAGACGTTACAGCTGTTCTCAGTGCGGTCTGGCCTTCAAGTCCACCTCTACTCTCAGGAGCCACATGATAATCCATTCCAGCAAGTCCCCGTTAAACTGCACCACCTGTGGCAAAACCTTCACTCGCCAAGACACCTTCAAAAGGCATCAAGACGTTCATGCGGGGATTAAAGTCCACAAGTGCTCGGAGTGTGGAAAATGCCTGAGCTCAGCAAGTTGCCTGAAGCTGCACATGCAGGGTCACTCTGGCAACAAGAAAATGTACAACTGTGGCGAATGCGAGAAGAGCTTCAGTTCCACGTCCTATCTGCAAAAGCACCGGCAGATCGCACACACCGACGAGAAGCCGTATGTTTGCTTCGAGTGCGGGGAGAGCTTTAACACGGACGGGAAGCTAGTTACTCACCAACTACAGCATTCAGGACAGATGGAGCATGTTTGCTCCCATTGTGGGAAGAAGTTTGCACGGAAAGAGACTCTAAGACGACATGAGAAGATGCACTCTGAAGTGAGGCCTCACCAGTGCTCGGAGTGTGGAAAAGGTTTTACAAGGAGCGATCAACTAAAACAGCATCAGAGAACACATTCAGAGACAAATTAGATGGATGTAATATTTTCCTTTTGTGCCTGGTAATATGCACAGGATTGGTTTGATTAACAGTTTCTTTTGCTATTGAATCATATTTTGTCCATGCATTTTTGGACCCCACTTAAGTTTATTTGAATGGCACTTTGTACTAGTGGCACTAGATGGCAGTCTGTGCTTTGAGACAGAATTGAGGTACTAAAAAGGTTGCTGAAAACCCAAAGTTGCAAACCCTTCCATAAAATCATGAAAAAGAGAGGGACTTCAATGTTAAAGTAAAAGATAAGATGAAATATGTTATTTTGTGCTTTTGTTTTGTTCTGTCATTAAAGAAAATTATGTACTTCTGTGATGGGATTTTTATAAAAAACTAAAAGATCTCAAAAACTCAAAAATGACAGTTCCCTTTTAAAACAGCACCTCATTTGTTTGGTTTGCCACTTTTCTTTTCCATACGAGTCTGGTAAATTAGTAATGGCAGTTAAAAATGTAACAACAGTCCATGTGTCTGAAAAAGAAATTGGATTTTAATGCAAATGGCACATTTTCAGCAATATCAGCCTGAGGCGAGGACTAGCTCTTTGATTTAAATATGCTAACACTTTAGCTGAAGCTGCTCTTGTACCCAAAGGGTACAATAAATGCCATGCACTGTGAAGAAGAACCACATAGATATATTAGACTGGGTCAGTTTACCAAATTAGATATTTGATTTATATATTTATTTGTATCTGGTTAAAAAAGAGAGTGTTTTTCTTTAACCTGCATAGTTTCTATAAAGCACAGTGCGGCACAATACCAGCTCTTGATTGTACATTTTTGTGCTTTTAAAGAGGTAACTTGATATAAAATTCAAAGCAGCACAGCTGAATGTAGTCTAAATATAGTCTTATATATATATCCATGATAATGATAGTGTTCACGCTTTCAGAAAAAAACCACTGAGTTCATCACCCAGGCTCAACTAGATCTTTCTTGATTATTGATTTTTTTTTTTAACCAATCAAGTGTTTGTATGTGTATTCCCATTTGTTTATGTGGATGTTTACAGACTCAGATTCCACTCCAGCAATTTCATTCCCAGTTGAACAAATAAACATAGTAAGAAATTCTTAGTCTGGTCAGGGGAGAGTCACACTCTGTCTCCCTGACAACAGTCGCTAGGCAACTAACATTTGTCATCCCTTTTCTTTCTTACCTCATGTCCCGTTTCTAACCATCTGCCTTTAGAGTGAAGCCATCAACCCCTTTCAAATACAAATATAGTATCCTCACCTCTAGGAGCTGCTGGTTTACTTGCAAGAATCATTTCGACATCATCACAATCGCAGGGACAAATGTCAGACACATGCTAGGGTATCATAACAAATTGTCTTTATTCTCTCATTTTCAAAGACAGTGTGGATAACATTCATCAATAGTGAGAAACAAGTGAATGGTGCTGCCATGTTTGACCTTGGAACGTTTCCAGAACGTTGTGGTTTCATTGTTGTTGCATAAGCTTGTGTGGCCAGCCCCCACAGAAATGCTTGGTCCAATGGCATATTCAGTGGATTCCATGAGATATTGTGTTGTTGGGTCTAAAATGATGTGAGCTGGTGAAAATACAGAACAAAACTTGCCCATCTTTGTAGGCTCCGCGTCTCCTCTTATGGCTCTTTATGTACATTTGTTTCAAAAGATGCGCACATAGTATCATCCTTAAAGAGTCCAGGCCATATCACCTAACGGATGTCATTTGTGATAACCCTCACAATAAGGCTACAGCGATTTTACAGAACATCATTGTAAAAGAAACGAACAAAGTCCTAAGCCTAAACATTAACTATACCTCTAAAATCAGAGGGAAATAGAGGGTTCACGACTTGCATTAGCAATTTAGCATTGCTCTATGGAATGTAGCATCAAGCATTGCATGGCGCTCATGTTCACACAATTAAAATTGACGTAACTGACCTTTTAAAGCATAGCCAGTGACAGGTTCAAGACAAGATCGTACCTGTCTCGTTATGTCCTTTGAAAGTACACAGTTTTAAATTTCATTAATTTATAAAGAAAAATTGTTTTCACTTTTTTTTTTCACAAGCATCCTGAGACCTCTAAATTTAATTCAACAAAAGTGAGCTAAGACAGCGACAACGTTCAAAAAGTTTTCTAAGCTTTTCACGGTTTGTGTACACTACCCACTTTTTTGCTACCACGCTCTGCAATTTCATTGATGCTTTCTGGAACGCTTCTCATGTAGTTGGAAAAGCATCCCATGATGCTTTAGATGAGGCCCTGATGCAAGTCATATGAAAGGTCCTTAACCCAAAAATATTGATTGAAACAACATTCCTATCAACCAATCATCCACGTCCACAAAGGCGAAATCACAGTAAGCCTCATAATGAAGACGATATGGGAAAAAGACATTACATGCTTTAAGATGACAAGACAAAAGTGGGCCATTCTCAATATTGCTTGTCCTAACATCTGGTCTTTTTGGTGACATATCAGAAAATTTAAAGTACAGTTTTAACCTGAATTCAGGGCAGTATGGCATTGATTAAAGGTGCCTTTTTTTCGATCTCTGAGACTTGTATTTAGCTACTGTATGCAGCTAAATATCAAATACTATATATTACAATTGACCCGTATAAAGGAAAATGAGAGTTGGTAGGTTTATTCTCTTGTCAGACAGATTTGAGTGTAAACATGGCTTCCTTTCATTATAGACGGAGGAGTCAAATTAGTTCAATGGTAATTTGACACAACCGAGTTATTCTCTAGAGTTTGCTCTGTCTCACTCTGGGGACTCTTATCAACTCGCTCTCCATAGACCAATCTGCTTTCTCTGCCAGCACTGATCTCCTAATATTGCCTTCTTTCTTATTCTATGCTCATTAAATAACAGGTCTGTGTATTACTCCCACCACATTGGTGTTTTAATTACGAGTGCATATAATTGATGTCAATATCAGAAGAACAACAACATTTTGCTGTTGTATTACAAAATGTCCCATTACATCTTAAAACAATTGATTAGCATGTGATTTTGCTCCCTGCGGTTAAGAATCATTAAGTGAATATCTGAGTATGGCCTGATTGACTGAAGTCATTACTATGAGTCAAAGATTACATTTCAGTAACAATTGTTTAAGCGAGAAATTCATTGGTGCCCAATCATAAATATTGCTTCTGTTTGAATATTTTACTTGTTTTCAGAATTTATGACAAGTCAATTAATTCCAACCACAAGCCAGGAGTATTTGTTTTCGAAAGCATGTTAAATGAGCTGAGCGCCTTTTTTTAACTTCAATCGTTCATCACGCTACGGAAATATGCTAAATATTTTAGCAAGTGCTTTTTCCGCTTGTAAACAAGGCCCTTGAAGGAACAATTCCCAATTACCGCAACTGGACGGCTGTTACAAGAAAAGAAAGAAAAAAAAAGAAAGAAATATCATTAACACTCCTCTGCAGTTCTGTGTTGAATCACCCCCATATTTTTCGATTAGTCACAAAGCTTTGTGATTAGTCTCAAAGCAAATTCCTTGGCTGTCATATGCCTCCGCAAAAACACAAGGAAACATCACCACACTCGAGGGTCAACACATCAATCGTTTGGATGAGAACTGTACCACTAAATATTATACATGTCATAAGAACTGTCATTAGTTTAGTTCACATTATGATTAACACAGTGTCCTAACCAGATATGATGCAATAAAGCAATATTTTGTTGGTTGCTTGGTTTTAACTTATTGGCTGTGATGTCAAATAGCCATTGATCATTGGTTCAAAATCCTGTACCATACAACTGTGTATAAAACATCAAATACCTTCCCATTGGGTTTTTATATTGTGTTAAAAAGTTAAGCTAATTTACAAAATACCAATGAGCGCATTTGAGGAAGAACTAATCACTGGATCTGTGAAAGTTTTCCAGGTTAATGGTATCAGAAGAACAAAAGATCCTCAAGACGTTTGTTCTTAATCACAAACTTCAAGAGAAATTTTAATCAAAGTCTTTAACATCTCCCACTATTTTTTTCTGTACAAATAGTTATTTGCAATTATTTGAATAAATGTTTTATAAGCAGTCTATTTTTTCAGTTTATATTTTAGACAAGCATGCCTCTGTATGGAGTGTGAAAATACAACAAACTGTGCCGTTTCACATGACGGTTAGTTTTTCTCTTCTAATAGAGATGGCAGGCTATGCGAGACTACGTCTGGTTAGGACACAGTATTTCTCAGAGCCGTAACCACCATTATATTATTCCAATTAGTCGTCGACCAATTGGGCTGCACAATATATCGATAGCATTTCACTAAACCAATGCTGAGATATCGATTAGATCGAAACACCAGGACTTTGATTTAATGAAATAAATAAATACACTGCATGTTTCAGATTTAAGCATGGCACAGTGTTAATTTACAGTGGCAAACAATGCTGGATAGTTAAACGTTTGAAAATGAAAAAGAGATAAAATGTAATATATATAATTTTACAGTTACTGCAAATAAAATTATTTTAATTTTAATTAAACAGAAAAGAGATTTTTTTTTTCTGTTTACTTTATGGTTACTGAAAGAGTGTGAACACCCACATTTTTCAAGTTTTTCCAAATTATTCATCACTAAAAATGTGATTCAAGCTAAAAAATTATTTTTAATATTTAGTTTAAATTATTTTTATTTTATATGCAGACGCATTTCTCAAGAAATCATCATTTACTCACCCTCAAGTTGTTTCAAACCTGCATGAATTTCGAAGATATCAAAGGAAGTTATTTTAAAGAATGTCGGTAACCAGACAGTCGATGAACCCACTGAATTCCCTAGTAGCAAAAAAAAAAAAAAAAACCCGCTATGGACTGTTTGGTTACCAACATTCTGCAAATATCTTCTTTTGTGTTCTGAAGAAGAAGAAGAAAATTCATGATCATGAACTAGATGGTGAGTAAATTATGACATATCTTTCATTTTGAAGTGAACTATTCCTTCAAGTCACCTGGTGAAAATGTTTCACCTTTTTTATTTAGCAGAAAAACAAAATAATAGCAATGCCACTCTTTTTTTCTTCTTCTTATATCGTGCAGCCCTATCGACCAACAGGGTCCTGTCACCCTGATTCTGTTCACTTTATTTGGTTTCCTTAAAGGGATACTCCACTTTTTTGGGAAATAGGCTCATTTTTACCACTCCCCCAGAGTTAAACAGTTGGGTTTTACAATTTTCGAATGTATTCAGCCGATTATTTTTATATTTAGAAGAATATCAGTAACCAGACAGTTTCTGGTCTCATTGACTTCCATAGTATATTTTTTCCTACTAAGGAAGTCAGTGAGACCAG